CTACCATGCCAAAAAATTGTTGCAGTGCACCTTAAACTTTGAAGAGAGGCTTCACGGCAGTGCAAATTTTTTTGTATAGGTGCTTTCACAGCTTAGCACACCTATGCAGCAGTGAACCCACCTTTACACAAGGTTACGTGTTAATTAGTATGCAACTATTCGTTCATCACGAATACAGTCGAGCCCACATATAACGGCCCCACTTAAAACGAACAATATCTGCGTGACGTGAAAATATGCATTGGTTCAATGGCACAAAATCGCACTTAAAACGAACGTCTCCGAGCGCCGCTGGTCGGTTACAGCGAACCAAGTCAGCGGTCTGCCGACTTCCCGGGAAACCAATTTCGACCATCGATCAGGCATCGGCGAGGTGCCCATACATTTTTATTGTTAAACGCCGACCCTGCCTCTGCCGCTGATCGGTTACAGCGAACCAAGTCAGCGGTCTGCCGACTTCCCAGGAAACCAATTTCGACCATCGATCAGGCATCGGCGAGGTGCCCATACATTTTTATTGTTAAACGCTGACCCTGCCTCTGCCGCTGATCGGTTACAGCGAACCAAGTCAGCGGTCTGCCAACTTCCCAGGAAACCAATTTCGACCATCGATCAGGCATCGGCGAGGTGCCCATACATTTTTATTGTTAAACACCGACCCTGCCTCCGCGCCCCTCTAGTTGCCGCTCTCCTTGACCGCTTTTTGTTACGCACCCCTCCGTCCTTTGTCCCCCTGCTACTCTGAGCACCTCGCATCGCCAAACGAGGCCCGTGTTTTCACACTGCCACCGATCTTTCGAAGACCGGTCGGCCATCTACCCTGTTTTCGATCGCTGGTACTGTCGTTGGCGTCGCCGGCCTGGAGTGACCAGACCAGAGGCGTCGCCGGCCTGGAGTGCCAACATCGTTGGCCACCGACTGTATCTGATCGTCTGCGTCTAGTGCAAACGTGTAGGCTACCCCACAGACTCTGATAATTTGCTATTTTAGGACTTTTTCTCGCTTACTTCGCACTCGGCTCAACATGCCTTCCGCGCGCGTGCGGAAGCGCGAAAACTGCTGTTAATTTTCGCGGAACGAATCACGAAATATCGAAATTCGTAAGGCCACGCTACACCGATTCAGGCGGCCATGCACTCTTTCCAAATTTTTCTACGTGCGAGTTTCGCGGACCTCTCAAGCAAGCTGCCCAACCTGCCTCCTTCCCGTGCGTTTTGCTTTTCAAGGTCGCCCTCCCGCCGCAACCTCCCCTCTCTTTATCGCAACTCCTTGCCCTTCTCTCGCAAGTCTGCTCACCTCTCTTGATCACAACCTCTTCGCCCGTCTCCATCACTCCGCCACGCTGGCTTGAATTAGTTTCGTTTTTTGACTGGAAACGGGCCCAGAACTGTTCCACGCGCTCTGGCATGCGTGTCGCGTGTGCGCGTCTTGCTCGCTCTTCGTGTGCGTGTGTGGTAATGATGGCTGACGGGAGGACTAGCACGCTTTTCCGTGCCGCTCAACAAAACATCGAAAGTGTAACCGCTTGGCTTTAGTGTAATCAGCGCATTAGGTGCTGCGTTGCGGAGTGCTTGCTCATAGCTGTTGGCCACCTGGCAGCCAACTTGCCGCTTCGGGAATCCCTGCATTCAGCTGTAGAGATGGTTAATATTTCGTGGGCGGCAGTCACTACATGCGCGTGAAACTGTTTTCGCGAGGCCGACTTCATCGACGTCGGGCCCGATGCCGAGCCTGCAGCTTCCGAACTACGGCGGTGTTTGTGGCCGCGTGTCATCGATTCCGACCTGGTAGAGCGGGCAGGACATCTGTTGCGATGGTTTAATTACGGCCGATGATGATGCCGACACTGCAGAACTGTGCACGGATTGGGGCATTGTGAATGAAGTACGTGACGAGCGATTTGGAGGAATCTGATTGCCAGAACGACGAAACTGGAGCTAGTGCCTCATGCAGTTTATGCCACAGGCCTCGGTGAACGAGCACCCTGCCGTTTTAAATGGAACTCAAGACCGCCCCTATCGCTTCTGTTCTTCGAAACATGTGGCCCCGCCGCGGTGGTCTAGTGGCTAAGGTACTCGGCTGCTGACCCGCAGGGCGCGGGTTCGAATCCCGGCTGCGGTGGCTGCATTTCCGATGGAGGCGGAAATGTTGTAGGCCCGTGTGCTCAGATTTGGGTGCACGTTAAAGAACCCCAGGCGGTCTAAATTTCCGGAGCCCTCCACTACGGCGTCTCTCATAATCATATGGTGGTTTTGGGACGTTAAACCCCACATATCAATCAATCTTCGAAACATGTGCATCACAGACTTTTTGGGGCAAAAAAAAGTTTGTGTTTTCACTCGCAACTTTTTTTAAAAGCTGTGTTTCATTTACTACGAACTTTAGGATACAGTGAACGGATGCGGCGTCACGCTCAGGTTCGTTATAAGCGGGCTCGACTATACTTCGAAATTTTCAATAATTTAAACTCGAGTCCAAGCGAATTCGAACTATTCGTTCGAAAGCCTACTCTTATCATGTAAAAAGGAATGATTCGGCAACTGTACTGTGCATAAAAGGTCGAATTTCAATTGAGTAATGTTTCACTATAATTAATTTTTTATTTTACATACCTCTTTTTAATAAGGTTTAAATATTATAACAATGTTTTTTGCTTCATGTACACATTGTCATATTGAAGTTCAACTGCACCAGTAATCAGTAGCCTGAAGTACTGTGCACATTTCGAACTCTGATGGCGTATTCTATTGGCAGCTCTCGTCCTCTGGCTTGGAGTCTGCAGATCTGAGCGCAGCTTGCAATCTGTGTGGGAGACAGTGTACCAACTGAGTGCACAAGCAATCTTGGAGCAGTGCATGACACTGGCTGCCTGCGTGGGAAGCCGTCATGCAAACAGATTCATGCACAACATAAGCAAATTGGGCCATCAAATCTTTAATCTACCTTAATGCAGTGAGATCTCTGCAGACTTGTTTGCACACCTTATTTACTCAAATCTAGGCTGGCCCCCTGAAGTCTGAGGCCCAGGAAAAACGAAAAAAAAATTCTCTATTGTAGCTCGATTGAAACAGCAAAGACAACGTTCACAAAGAGGAAACATTTATTGAACACAAAGATGAAACAAAGTGGTTGGTTCATGATGCAAATAACTCGGGAAACAGCTAGTCTTGTTGTGTTTCCTTGTCTTTTTTTAAAATTTTCGCGCTGCTTTTAGTTATTTGCACTATAAAAGTGTCACGCTTGCCGATGCTGCGCTCATTCAGAGTCTTCGTCGCTGATTTTTTTGGCGCTGTCTTTAAACAGTGCGCAATTCTCGGTGCCATCAAGCACATTAGATATGCCGCACTTTTTAAAAGAGCACACAAAGTTCCTGGGATGTCGTCCCATGCTTCAGCCCCTCGAACGGCGTACATTTTTTCATCAGCTCCAAAGTCCCGCACGCCTTGAACATTAGACGACTCTGCAGCTAGGACAACTTTGCTCTTAAAAGCAGCACTATAATGACAGCGCCTGTTGGCATCGTTGAGCTACGCCGCACACATACCACTCAAAGTTTGACTCGATATGACAAACAGCTCGCCTCGACTACTATACCTCAGCACTCGCCAAAAAGATAAAAATGGCGGCCTCGCATGTGTACTTTAAGCAGGTGTTGGGTCGGCTGCTAGCGACTACAATACCATCCAGGTGCCGCTACTTTTTTTTCAATGAAAAATGTTGAGTTTTTCAAAATCCTCGACTCTAAGCAGAACCTGGAGTTTGATACAAAGAAATTCGAAAAATTCCAACAGCCTAGAATTGAATAAATATGGTAAGTTTGTTTGGGGATTGTTGTTGTCTAAGCTTTTACTCTGAAGGCTTTCAGTTGCAAGGTGGTGTGAGAACAGCGGTGATAATTCCTATGCATTTAGTAGCCGCTTATGCTCCCACTTTAATGGAAAATTGATGACGCAGCATATATATTCTGTGTAATCAATTTTCCATCAAAGTTGTTAGTGGCGTCTGTGGTGTGTCTTTCCATGTGTCCGCTTTGTGCTTTCTCGCTACTCCATGATTATTAGCAAGCACCAACTAGTCCAACAACAAGTCCTTCTGCAAGACATCATACAGTTATGCCTTGTTAAGTGCATGAAAAAAGCACAGAACACTGCATATCCACAAAGTGGATCATTATGAGTGGGCGAAGCAGTGGGATCATTATGCGTTACCATAAAGACATTGGCCACTCTTGCATGTAAATGAGTTACAAAGTGATGTACAGAAATATACAAGGTTTATCGGTAATAAATGGTATGTTGTGTTGAGTTGTGAATTTTATTTTGCCTGCATTATTGCTGCTTTTTCGTATCGGGTCTCGCTTGAAGTTGGCAGTAACAGGTCTGTGCACGTTCCCCTGGTGGTTGTTGGTTGTTTCCAGTCATTCGAAATGCATCGGAGAGCATATCGAGACGTCATGTACTGCACAAGCCAGTCGTCGTTCGTGGTGATGGTCATCATCATCATCTTTGTCAACGTCATCATCATGGCTACCATGTACGCCAGTGCTGCCAACGGACAAGCTTCAACATTAAGAAGCGTTGTCCCTAAAACCCATATGATGTTTCGAACGTTTCTCTTTGAAACTATCGCAAGCGTAAAGGCTAAATAAATAGGTACTGGCTCTGTAACCTTTCAACAACCACAGCAGCTAGTGTCACGTAGCACATCCTCTCAGCCAGGTCTTGCCGATACTCTCACTTCGAAGTTGGAGCGTATGGGAGCATCCTGAGTGGAAGGCTGATGCTCTGAATGAAACATCTGAGCAAAGTCTGAGTGTTCGACTTGTACCAACCAAACGCACGGCCACTTTTCAGAGCCCTCTAGAGCACTCGAAAACGACCCTCTGAATTCGCCATAACTGTTATTTGTGATTAGCAGTAATTACAATTATCAACAGGTTAAAAACTGTATAATTTATGTATTTCTTTAATAGTAATGAAGAATTTTTAAATTTCATGCAGGTTGAAAGAAGACTACTTGGCTGCTGTGCAAGGCATTCAGAAGTATTTGGTTAGGCGTTCAGAGCCTAACAAGTTGCTTTTTATTGGAGAGCTTGTGCGTGGCCGCACCTTCTACCCAAAAATGGTATGATTGATTGAAATTAGCTTTCAGAAAATTTCAACAAGATAACACAGTAAAAGTTGAACATAGGCAAAAACACATATAAATGTATCTAGCCATAAGTTTACGTGGTGGTAAATCACTTCAATTTCAAATGAATGCGGCATCATAGCCAGTTTGAGGTGCAATTACTCTAGAAGAAAAAAAAATTTTTCGTGACTCAATTCAGCGTGCTATCATTATGAAAATAAATGCAGTATGAACAATTGCACAGAAGCTTTCTACGATTACCCCATATAAACAGTGTAGCAGATTTTGAAGGGGCCTCTGTGAGCTCATCACTTATGGTCATGTGTAGCAGACATAAAGCCCTTGGTGTTCTCATGATTCAGCTTACAGTACTCAAAATCCCTTTCTGCGTTTAGTTTTTTTTGTTAGCATGAAGCTTCTGAATAATTTTGCCAAACTAGATTAAATCTTGCTTTCGTGACAGATGTTGTGGTTTTTATTATTTGCGTCCAGTAAATTCATCTTGTTCATGCCTGCCTTTCGGTTTTTAACGATGATCAACTTAGTTTTGTGTCCACAGATTTTCGATTGCCCCAAGAATTTTTTTACTGTGATAGTTTTAATCTTAAATGTGAACCTTGGATTTTAGAGGTGCTGCAACACTTTTTAAACATCGTCAACAAAAACATTGCTTATCTGTAGTCGAGGCTCTTGTGAACATGTGATCCGAAAAATTATTGCACTGCTTTATTCAGGGACATTGAAACTTTGTGTCAAAAACAGCCAAAAATTACATACTCTCTTTTCTGAAATATGCTAACTACACTGCAAGTGGGCCTAACAATGCAGCAAGTAGGTGAGACAAGTATTAGCTGCTTTCATGAATGGCGCCCCGCCGCGGTGGTCTAGTGGCTAAGGTACTCGGCTGCTGACCCGCAGGTCGCGGGTTCGATTCCCGGCTGCGGCGGCTGCATTTCCGATGGAGGCGGAAATATTGTAGGCCCGTGTGCTCAGATTTGGGTGCACGTTAAAGAACCCCAGGTGGTCGAAATTTCTGGAGCCCTCCACTACGGCGTCTCTCATAATCATATGGTGGTTTTGGGACGTTAAACCCCACAAATCAATCAATTTCATGAATGGCATACGAGTGGATAGTCTCAGAAGCCACATGTTGTGCCCTTGTAAGTGCTGCAGCCATCACATGTACACACTGTGCTTGTATGAATCAGCAGTAGCAACGAATGCATTGAAAGAAGTACACTGTCATTCTTATAAAAGGGAACACGTGATTGCGTGACCTGCTCTCTACAACAGCTGCCTGCAGTATCTTGCAGCGCTTGTCCAGCGGCCATAACTCGTTTCATTTGCCAATAGATGACGCTAAAAGCCACCCTCTTTTCTTTTGCTGTCATTTGATGATGGTCCTGTAGGCAGCTGCCGCAGAGCGCAGGAGGCCACGCGCTCATGTGTTTCGTTTCATATTAGAAGACAGCGTACAGTAGACTCCCTTTAAGGGGGGAGGTGGCATTGAAAAAAAACTTTTTTATTTGTTGACCTACAGCAATGAAATTTGGCATGCATACTCATAAGTGTCTCGAATAGGGAAATATGCAGATTTATCATGATAGCTTTAGTAGTTCTCAAGTTACATAATGCTACATGGTCCAATTACATGGTCTGCTCATGGAAAACCTAGCGCTGCAACAAAACATGCCAGGAAGCTGCGAATGGTGTTGATCTTTACTCAAAAGAAAGCTACAGGGTTTGGCACTCTCAGAATTTTTTAATAAGTTCTCTCTTTTTTTAAGAGACCATCATGGCTGTCGACACACATTGTCAGAAACAGTGGCACGGACAAATCATCGTCTAGAAAAATAACAGGGTCATAAAACAGAAATTGAAGATTGCTGTACCCACAAGCAGTGTTCAGGGATTCAGGAAAAAAAAAAATCAATCAAAATTGGTCCAGTCATTCCCGTGCTACTCTTTCCACGAGCAATACACAATGTCCAAAACAGACTTGTGAGAAAAAGCCTGTTGAAGTTTTCGACAGGCTTTCTTCAATGAAATTTTTTGTTTCTCGTTGGATATTGATGAAAATTGGCACAGACACTAAGAATGACCTCGCAGTGCTTCCATAAAAAACAGAAGCTTTCTACGATTACCCCATATAAACAGTGTAGCAGATTTTGAAAGGGCCTCTGTGAGCTCATCACTTATGGTCATGTGTAGCAGACATAAAGCCCTTGGTGTTCTCATGATTCAGCTTACAGTACTCAAAATCCCTTTCTGCCTTTAGTTTTTTTTTGTTAGCATGAAGCCTTTGAAGCGATACCACAAATACTTTACGAGAAACAAATTGTTTCTTCAAAACCATGTGGAGGGACTGAGCATAATGTTGAAAAAGAAACAGTATTGAGAAAGCTGCGTTTAAAGTTTCAACTTTTCTTTACGTCTCTAAGACACCAAAAAATTGTGATCTCAGGTTTGTCTTATGATATTTGACTTCTTTTCATGATTTACTCCTTTTCATGATTTACAAAAAATAAGTATGGATTTCAAACCAAGTTCTTTGTATGAAGGAGTGGTGTGATAGGTATGACAGGAAAGATTGTAATTGAATAAAACCATATACTGAAATTATTACACATATTTTTTTGTACTGAAGTTGTAATTAGCGTAATTAAGTACTTGATTACAAATATTCACTGAACTTTTCTTTATTTGGAGAGAGGTTTATTGCATCAGAAAAATGGATCACACCATGACGGCTTATGCCTTCTTTCCAAATAACAAAGTTATGGGCAGAAGACTGGTGTCACAGAAATTTCTAGCAGTATAATTAATGACGCGAAACGGCGTATAAAAATTCGTGCCCCTGATTCATACATGCTCTTTCGTCGCTTTAGCCATGAAACGCATCATCATACAGCCGGTTGCGGAATTTCTAATCTACAGCGATTCATTAACCTGGGAACATTCATAGACGTTCGTGGCGATATCAAGCACGGCTCCAAGCACGTCTGAATCGCATCACAAAAGCTTATTGACAGCGCTTCATATGACCGTGGGGTGCGCGGCCGCGTGGACAGTGCAGCCGGCGCGTAATGCACTTGCCGGTGGCGTTAGATGACGATGCGCGAAATGTGTAACTACGAAGACAAAAAGTCGGCGCGCACTGCACTTGGCATCGCACTTTCGAATGACGCGCGAAACTGCTAGCCACTGTTCCGAGCAATCCTTGGCAGTGAGGGGGGGGGGGGGGGGGTGACGAGCTTGACCGTGTTGTCCGCTGCCGATGCGTAAAATGCCCGTACGTGATTCAGAGGAGCTCGCGAGTGATGTGGTACATTCCTTGCGAAGAAGCACGTCGCCATGAATGCGCTAGCACGTCGTTCCTGCCCGCAGTCTCGCTGTCGGCGTAGTTAGTGCTAAAGACGACTCCGATGACGTGCGGCACTCGTAGACCGCGCGCCCGCTCGTAGTGCCGTAGTAACCTGATCGCGCATCCGCTTACTGCTCGTAACCTAACCGTAGTTATATCTTAAGTCATTATCAAGCCGTGAACATGTCACCAAGTGGCGATTTTCGAGTGCCATGTCCTCACGACGCACAAGCAGCAGACGATCTCCCGGAGCGGCAAGTGCATTACGCATCGGCTGCACTGTCCATGCGGCCGCGCACCCCACGGTCATATGAAGCGCTGTCAATAAGCTTTTGTGATGCGATTCAGACGTGCTTGGAGCCATGTTTAATATTGCCACGAAGGTCTATGAATGTTGCGAGGTTAATGAATTTCTGTTGATTAGAGTTTCCGCGATTTGCTGTATGTAGATGCGTTTCACAGCTAGAGCGGCGAAAGAGCATGTATGAATCAGGGGCACGAATTTTTATACGCCGTTTCGCGTCATTAATTATACTGCTAGAAATTCCTGTGCCACCAGTCTTCTGGCCATAACTTCGTTATTCGGAAAGAAGGCATAGGCCGTTGTGGTGTGATCCATTTTTCTGATGCAATAAACCTCTCTCCAAATAAAGAAAAGTTCAGTGAATATTTGTAATCATGTACTTAATTACACTAATTACAACTTAATCACAAAAAAATGTGTAATAATTTCAGTATATGGTTTTATTCAAATACAATTTTTTCTGTCATACCTATCACACCCCTCCTTCATACAAAGAACTTGGTTTGAAATCCATACTTGTTCTTTGTAAATCATGAAAAAGAGTGAATCATGAAAAGAAGTCAAATATCACAAGACAAACCTGCGATCACAATTTTGAGGTGTCTTAGGAGGAGGAAAAAACCTTTATTGATGCTGGCTGTGCTGCCAGATAGCCCTTGTCCCCACCGGGCTGGTTGACATCCCTAGTCCGGGTCGTCATTAGTTGAGGCCGCCACCCGAGCCCGCAGGACTAGAGTTCGCTGTTCCTCTAGTGTGGAGCTATTGAGTAGGGTTGTCTCCCACTCCTCTTTGGTGGGGTTGGGAATGGGGGTTTTGGGTTCATGTGGCAGACCCAGACCATATGGTAAGTGTTGGCCACTTCCCCACAGTACTGGCACTGCCCACTTATTTTTCTGTCGTAATATTTGAGTATGGCTGGACAGAGCAGCGTATTTGTCTGTAGGCACCGCAGGACGCGCTCCTCCGTTTTCGAGAGTCCCTTCGCTGGTGCGGGATATAAGCGGCATTGCTCAATGTAGTATTCTTCGATTTCTCGAAGTCATGTTAAAGGTGTGGGACGTTCAGGTCTATTAGGGGAACGGGGAGTTTCCCGGGAAGTAAGCACGCGGGCCGCTGCATGTGCAGCCTCGTTACCCTGTAGACCCTGATGTCCCGGAGTCCATAGAAGACGTTTTAGGTATGGATCGCGGTTCCTGATGCTGAATTTTAAGGGGAGACGCTCCTCGAAAGCACTTTTTTTTTGTTATTCAACTTAGAGCTTCAGAAATTGGACCACTGATGCAGTTTTTCCTCCTGATTCCAAATCTGTAATCAGTTTTTACATAA